TCTCTCTCTCTCTCTCTCTCTCTCTGTCTCTGTCCTCTCTCTCTCTCGGGCCCTCTCTTCTCCCTCCACACACACAGAGAGAGAGAGAGAGAGAGAGAGAGAGAGAGAGAGAGAGAGAGAACTTGTTGTCTTTCACTTTTCGGACCACTGTGCTTGCCGCTTGTCTTCAACTGATGCCCTGAAAAGCTGCTTTGCAGTGCTTTCTCATTCTAGTTTGTTTGTGTGCTTCCCTCTCTTGCACTCCTTTGTGTGTGTGTGTGTGTGTGTGTGWGWGTGTGYGYGYKYKTGTGTGTGTGTGTGAGTGCAGCAAGTGTATGTGTGTGTGTGTGCGTGTGTGTCAAACAGTCTATCACAGTCTATGTGACAAATTGTCTGTCACAATCAGGTGGGCAGCGCACAAACTGTGACAGAGTCTGTCACAATCATCCCAACCTGAGTGCAGCAAGTGTATGTGTGTGTGTGTGTGTGTGTGTGCGTGTGTGTGAGTGCAGCAAGTGGATATGCGTATGTGTGTGTGTGTCAAACAGTCCGTCACAGTCTATGTGACAGACTCTGTCACAGTCTATGTGTGCGTGTGTGTGAGTGCAGCAAGTGGATGTGCGTAAGTGTGTGTGTCAAACAGTCCGTCACAGTCTATGTGACAGACTCTGTCACAGTCTATGTGTGCGTGTGTGTGAGTGCAGCAAGTGGATGTGCGTATGTGTGTGTGTCAAACAGTCCATCACAGTCTGTCACAGTCTATGTGACAGACTCTGTCACAGTCTATGTGACAAACTCTGTTACAGTCTACGTGACAGACTGTCAGTCACAATCTGGTGGGCAGCGCACTAACTATGACAGAGTCTGTCACATCACTGTCTGTTGGGCACAGTGTGTGTGTGGCCCAACAGACTGTCTGTCACAGTCTGTGTGTGCCACATATATGTGACAGGCTATCTGTCACAGTTTGTGTGTGCTTCCCAACAGAATGACTGTGACAGAGTCTGTCACATATGTGTGGCTGGTGGGGGGCAGCACACAYAGAGAGTGACAAACAGTCTGTCACGTATGTGTGACTGGTGGGGGGAAGCACACACAGACAGTGACAAACAGACCATTTGTCACAATCAGGTGGGCAGCGCACAGACTGTGACAGAGTCTGTTTGGTAGGGGGCATATAGACTCTGTCACACTTTGTGTGTGCTGCCCATCAGACTGTGACAGGCTGTCGGTCACACAGTTTGTGACAGACTATGACAGRCTCTCTCACACAGAATGTGACAGACTGTGTGTGAACTGGCCCCCACCAGTCTGTGTTGCAATGTCTGTTGGGAACAGTCTGTGTGTGCTGCCCAACAGACTGTCTGTCACAGTCTATGTGTGCCACACATATGTGACCGACTGTCTGTCACAGTCTGTGTGCTGCCCAACAGACCGACTGTGACAGACTGTCACATATGTGTGGCTGGTGGKGGACAGCACACACAGACTGTGACAAACATTCTGTCGGGGGGTGTGGGGGGRGATGSGGTGGATCTGGTGGGGGGCATCACCATTGCAGAATAGAGAACCCCCCCCCCACATCATCTTTGGATCTCCAGGCACAGGGGGGGTTCAGGGACACCACCCATGCCCTCCCTATATCTACAATACTATAAGAATCGCTAACGTCATATCTACCGGCCCAGGTTGCAGCCCGGTGACCACCCGCGGACGGCCCAGATCGCAAGCCGATGAGAAACTTTTCTCATCGGCCTGCGATCTGGACCGTCCGCAGGTGGTGACCGGCCTGCAATCTGGGCCGTGCGATACCGGTTCGGCCCGCCCAAACGGCCCTTCTGAACGCGCGCCCGCGCCCAGCCCTGAAATCGCCCTTCGAAGGGGCGGGCTTCTCAATTGTCTCGGCCGCCCCTTCGAAGGTGCGGGCTTCTCAATTGTCTCGACCGCTACGGCACGCGACGGCACGCTACGGCAGACGATGGCACGCGACGGCACACGACGACACACGACGGCACACGACGACACACGACGTGCTCATCGTGCTCTCTCTCTCTCTCTCTCTCTCTCTCTCTCTCTCTCTCTCTCTCTCTCTCTCTCGGACTGTGCTCTTTGGTGCTTGGTGCTCATCGTGGATCCGTGCTTTTCGTCACAGGATGATCGTGGATCCGTGCTTTGGTGCATGATCACGTGCTGATCGTGGATCCGTGCTTTTCTTTGGTGCATGATCAC